TAGGTTTTTAGTGTGTTTATAGGTTTGGAATTTTCAAGGTGTTTTTTATAAATTTTAATTTTTAGGGGTGTTTTTGTAATTTTTAAAATTTACAAGATATTTTCTCCAAAGTAAAAAAAAATTTAGTTTTTAGCTAGCATATGTTTTTTCAGATTTCTCGCTAAATTAAAATAAGTAAAATTATGAATAGGATAAATCATTTAATAACCAATTCAAAGAATATAGGATAATTAGAATAAAAACCCATTTTGCTCTAGATATTGAAAGAAGTATAAATTACTCTTTCCTCTCTTAAATAATATATAAGAGCTTCAAAAGAGGGCGTCTCTATATAAATTATTTCCTAGGCTTTATAATGATTAAGTTTCTTAACTTGTATCATTTCATCCTGCTACTTTAAATTTAGCACGTTAATTATCTAAATACATATAATGATAATTTTCCAAAGTATGTGTGGTCGAAACAACCGGCTATGATGACTGTGGACAAGTATGATCGGCAATTACCTAAACTTAATCCACAAGATTACTTTTAGTTACAGGAGCAAGCCCCTTTATCTAAAAGTTAACCCTCGACTCTTGAATTCCCTTGACACTTGAATTCCAGAAGTTTTAATTAAAATATTTCTCGTTTAACACTAATGTTTACTCTAGTTACTTCAACGCCATCCTTTTCAATTGTTATTAAATTTTGATCTACCAAAGGAATGATTGCGATGCGATGTCTTAGGGGGTGTTTGTTTCAAATCCTATAATTTTAGGATATGAATTTCACCATGGAATTTGAAATCCATATGTGTTATGTTATGGGTTGGGATTTCTAAAATGTTGTTTGTTTCATTAATATTTTAGGATTTGAAATACTACAATTTATAATATTTTGTTTGTTTCAAGCTCAAATTGTTTTTTTTTTGAATGAAAATAGGGCATACTGTCCTATCATGTATATATAAACAAAAAATGAGAGTGTTTTCAAGCTCAAATTGTAGCATTACCAAATGCCAACATTTTATAATATGATGAATATGCTATCTTGGTGAGGTTACCTCCCACAAAAAGATAAAATTGGGATTTGTCAAATCCTCTCAAATTGAGAGGATTTGGCAAATTCTAAAAATTGGGCATTTTTTGCACTTTTGATTCAATATTCTAAAAATTTTCTTAAAACAAACACCATATATGGAAACCCAAATTACAAAAAAAACTCACTTTTTGATCCCAAAACTTGTAATCCATACCAAATGCCAAAATTTTTGGTGAAACAAACACCCCCTTAGTCGTTTGAGATTTTTTTATTGTTTTAAAATCAAGTATATATTTGTGTGTTACTTTCCTTTTTGTAAAATGTACTTGCATTAAGTTCTTCTCCATTAAAATCTACATAAAAAGTGAAAATGGGTGTAATTCATAGATGATTTTCCATATAATTCATAGATGATTTGCCATACTTTTATTTCATAGAAATTGTAATCATCATAAACATCCTCATCAGACTACAACAACTTCTAATTAATTATATATTGTAAACTAAATATATAAGACTGAAATAATTCTAAAGTTTATGTAAAAACACCCTAAATTTGAACCTAACTAGACTAAGATTTGGACTCATTCAAACATAAAATGATTAAACTAAATTTACTAATACCATCATAATGACAAGAAAGAGGCCATGGTTATAGACTATCTGCTTTTCGGTGTGTTTGAAACTCAAATTATTTCTTAATTGGATTTTCATGTATATATTTCCCAAGTGAGAAATGCTAGCGGCCAAGCAACTGCCGATCGACACTCTGGCTAATTGCAGCCTGCGTCCCATTTGATTTGATGAGGTTACCAAACTATGATGATATTTCATACTTATTTGCATGCTCTGCTTATTTGATGCGGTTTCTGCATTCCAAGCCCTACTTTAAATATTGGGAAAAATGCTTCCAGCCCCCAAAACACAACAAAACATGCTCTGTCCCCCCAAGACTTTTTCAACGGGTGCTTTACCCCCAAAACCGCCCCCGATTTTCTTCCAGCCCCCAAAACTAATCCCCAGGCCTAACTCCGTTTAAACTCCGCTCGAAATGCTCAAAATACCCTTCGCAGCCTGTGTTCGTCGCCCTCTCACGACGGAAACCCATCGTTTCGACTGTAGGCATTAAATGGTGATTAGAATGACTTTTTTGGGGAGGAAATTCCCATTTCCCTCCAAATTATCACCAGATATTATCACCAGCTATATTCCCCTTCAAGCTAAAATCGCTGATTTCCTCCCCATTCTATTACCCCAACTAATTATGTTCCTTCCACTTAATTCTCCTCAATAAAAGCCTCTTCGATTCTTCAACTACTCCCTGTAATAAAATAGCGGATGGATCTCTTCTATGCGTGGTAACGAAGGCAAAAAGCAACAAAGGTGGTGACGGTGTATTCGTCGTTATCAAAGAGAATACAGAAATAATCAGCTTGAGATATCGAGTGGCGGAAAGGCTTAAAATACCAATGCAATCTCTTTCACTGAAGTTCATATGCGAAAGGGAAAAGAAATTCAGTATTTCAATTGACAATGACGACGACTTAAATTTGATGTTCGAGTATTGTCGGCGTAATGGATTTACAGACGTGAATTTGTATGCTAGCTCCGCTGGGGAATCCTCAACGTCGCAGAACACGCAGACTACGCCGGAAACTGCGTAGGAATTACACCCCATATTTCCTTTTGAGTTTACTGATAGGTTTTGCCATTAGTTGTTAACCTCATGCATTGGTTGCTTAGGTAATGTGTTGGTTGTCAAGGTTATGTTAAGCATTGGTTGTTAAGGTTATTTGTTGGCTGTTACGTATACTGGTTGGTTGCTAAGATAAGGTGTTTGATGTTAAGTATATGCGTTTGTTGTTAAGGTCACGAGTCTGCCCTTAAGTATAAGGGTTACTTATTAAGGATATGCGTTGGCTGTTACGTTTATGAGTTCGTTGTTAAGGTTATCAGTTCGTTGCTAAGGCTATATATTTTTATTACTACTTCAGGACAATACCGACAGAAAATTCGCGGTGCGCAGATACCACGTTCACCCAAACCTATAATGATGAGCGTATTACTAATGACAACCCCACCGGCGACTCGATCATGCTGCTGGAAGACATGCTTAATCACCAAACAAAGATCCCAACTGAGTGGCACACCTCCATACGTGAAGTTGGTCAGAAATTTGATAGTGCTGCTGAAGTTAGATTAGCACTTCAATACTATTCAATTGCTAAACGGTTCGAGTATGATTTTTACCACAATGAACAAAGACGCATAAGAGTCTATTGCCGATTCAAGCACACACATGGTTGCCCTTGGATGTTGTTTGCTTCCCCGCTCAGAAATTCGTCTATCATGTCCATAAAGAATTTCGAGTCTACCCACACCTGTGGTCAACATGGAGCAAATGCTGACAACTCAAGGGCATCAAGGAAGTTCATTGCTAGCCAAATACAAGCTATTTTGAAGGTTAGGCCAGATCTTCGTGCAGTCGATATCAAGAACGACATGCTCTCTAATTTTGGCATCAAGATTAACTACAGTAAAGCGTGGTGGAGCAAGGAGACAGCTCAACAGGACCTGTTCGGTGACGATGATGAGGCTTACGATTCACTGAGATGGTCCTTATCTTTTTTATTCTTCTGAAATCACTCTTACGTTTTGGTTGCTAACTATACATAGTAGTTGTTAAAGTTGGTGGTTCGACGTTAAGTATACGGGTTGGTTGTGAAGTTTGAAGATCAGTTGTTATGGTTATGAATCCGTTGCTAAATCTACTGCTTACGTTTTCGTTGCTAACTGTACGTATTAGTTATTAAAGTTATTGGTTTGTCGCTAAGTGTACGTGTTGGTTGTGAAGTCTGAAGATCAGTTGTTATAGTTTTGAATCCTTTGCTAAATCTACTGCTTACGTTTTGGTTGCTAACTATACATATTAGTTGTTAAAGTTATTGGTTCGTCGTTAAGTATACGCGTTGGTCGTGAAGTTTGAAGATCATTTGTTATGGTTATGAATCCTTCGCTAAATGTACTGCTTTGTTGTTATATTCATGCAGGTATGAATCCATGGTGCATGCAACTAATCCAGGGAGTCGTGTTGTTATTGATACTGATGACGGGAGGTTCAGACGATTATTCATTAGTTATAATGCCTGTATTGAAGGGTTCATTGCTGGGTGTAGGCCTCTATTGTTTTTGGATGGAATATTTATTAAAGATCGTTACAGAGACATACTACTTAGCGCTACTGGGTATGATGGCAACCAGGGAATATTTCCCCTTGCTTATTGCGTATGCGACCAAGAGAATGAGGTTAACTGGAAATGGTTCTTACAAGGATTATGGACGTTACTGTATGATAGGGAAAATCCTTACCAACCTCCACATCGACTGGTAATGATTTCAGACGCCGACAAGGGTATCAGGGCAGCAGTCGAGGAATTCTTTCCAGATGCATTCCATTCAAGGTGTGTTCTGCATCTAGTCGAGAATTTCAAAAAGAAGATGAAGGATTTTGGGCACAAGGCAAATGTCGCAACTACGTTGGGCGAGCTGTTACAATTTGCGGCTTATAAGTTCATAATATCTGAATGGGATAATGACATGAAAGAATTGGCAGCGATCGATCACAGGGCTTACGTCATTGTAATGGAATACTCCCCGGAGAGATGGGCAAACGCGCATTTTCCTGGTATAAGGTAAGATAGCTTGGGTTAGAGTTATCCTACAGTTTTCTGTTAAGGTTAGATTTTTATTGTTATGGTTAGAGTTATTCTGCTAGGGTTTTACCGTTAAGTTTAGGATATTTGTTGTTAAGGCTAGGCCTTTAATGTTTAGTTTATGGTTTTATTATTAATGTTAGTGTTTTGTTGTTAAGGTATGGCCATGTTACTTCAAACGTTGCTGAGTCCTTCAACAGCTGAATAAGAAAGGCACGATTGTTGCGAATCTTACCTTTGGTTGAGACCATACGGAAGCAAATAATGGAGCGCATGCATGAAAGGAGGCTATTGGGTCAGAAATGGTCTGGATACTTATGCCCGGAAGCGGAGATGGTGCTGAGTGATAATATTCAGCATGGTAGCTGCTTGGCGATTAAACATTCGACGGAAGATATTGTGGAGGTCGAGTCTAATAAAACTTGCCGCGTAGATTTGAAGAACCGGACTTGTTCTTGCATGTCCTGGGACATCACCCGCATTCCCTGCAAACATGCGTGCGCTGCAATTACATGGATGGGACGAGAAATTTACCAATATTGCGATTGGTACATGACTGTTGACGCATTCAGAGCAAGCTATGCACCGATCATCTATCCCATCCCAGATTACGAGAAGCGCTTTGTACCGCCAGAAGAACGAGTGTTGAATCCTCCTCTCACCAAAAAAGACGTGGCAGACCATGCACTAGACGAATAAACAACAGGTCGCTGAACACCCGACCTGTTAAGTGCTCTCGATGCAACATGGAGGGTCACAATCGTGCAAGCTGTAACGAGCCTATATAGTTTAGCGTTTATTGTCATGTATATGAATTTGTTGTCCTGTATATCATTACAAGTGAGAAGGTCATAGCTTGACTGTTAAGGTTATTACTTGGTTTTCAATTTTATCACTTTAATATTGAAGTTTTGGCTTGGTTGTTAAGGTTATTACTTGGTTGTCAAGTTTATCACTTTAATGTTGAAGTTTTGACTTGGTTGTTAAGGTTATTACTTGGTTGTCAAGTTTATCACTTTAACGTTGAAGTTTTGACTTGGCTGATATGTTTATCAATTGTATGTTAAGTTTACTGTTATACACCTATTATCCACCTGCTCTTTGTTGTCAGTATCACCGATTGTTAAAATTGTCAAGTATATCGTTAAAATTGTTAGGTTTTATGGCTTGACTGTTAAGGTTATTGCTTGGTTTTCAATTTTATCACTTTAATGTTGAAGTTTTGGTTTGGTTATTAAGGTTATTATTTGTTTGTTAAGTTTATCACTTTAATGTTGAAGTTTTGGCTTGGTTGTTAAGGTTATTACTTGGTTGTTAAGTTTATCACTTTAATGTTAAAGTTTTGACTTGGTTATTAAGGTTATTATTTGGTTGTCAAGTTTATCACTTTAATATTAAAGTTTTTGATTGGTTGATATGTTCATCGATTGAATGTTAAGTTTACTTTATACACCTGTTATCCACCTGCTCTTTGTTGTCAGTATCACCGATTGTTAAAATTGTCAAGTATATCGTTAAAATTGTTAGGTTTTATGGCTTGGCTGTTAAGGTTATTACTTGGTTTTCAATTTTATCACTTTAATGTTGAAGTTTTGGCTTGGTAGTTAAGGTTATTATTTGGTTGTCAAGTTTATCACTTTAATGTTGAAGTTTTGGCTTGCTTGTTAAGGTTATTACTTGGTTGTCAAGTTTATCACTTTAATGTTGAAGTTTTGACTTGGTTATTAAGGTTATTATTTGGTTGTCAAGTTTATCACTTTAATGTTGAAGTTATTAAGGTTTTATGGCTTGGCTGTTAAGTTTTATGGCTTGGTTGTTATCCACCTGCTCTTTGTTGTCAGTTTTATTTGTTTGTTATTTAGGTTACTATTATTCACTTGCAATTGGCTATCAAGGTTACCGAGATATTTTTGATTTGACTGCATTCAATGCATTTCATAGTTCCCAAGGCAGTAGAGTAATATCACCATCCCTCGGATTGTTCCAATACAGAACCGAACTATATAACATTTCTCCTCACCTTTACATCTTCTTTATCTTCCCATCACCGCCATTCTATTTGTCCTCACTATTTTCTCGATCATCCTAAGCTCTCCCCTCTCCAATCTCATAAACCAGAAGATCACGGCTAGCCCTCACGCTTATGAAGACTTTTTCAATATTTCTGGGTTCTGACCATATGATAGCATCAAACTTTTTTGAATATTATTACCTTTATATATTCCCCATTGTCATTATCTCGAAGTTCTATCGCATGGGCTTGAATAGCAATGGACTTCTCCAAAGAGCTTTCTGTTAACTTAACAGGCTGCTGGAAAGCTCTTCGTTGGAAGCCATTTATATTCAAGCACAGTTTATGGAACTTAGAGAATTGATAATGAGGAATAGATAAGGTTATTAGCATTCAAATAGTTGATGCTATCATACAGTCAGAATCCAAGAAATCTTATACTCGAACGAGCCTATATAGTTTAGCGTTTTATTGTCATGCACATGGATTTATTGTCAAGTATATCGTTACAAATGTTACGGTCATGGTTTTGATATTAAGGTTATTATTTGGTTGCTAGGTTTATCGATTGAATGTTATGTTTACTGTTAGGTCTCTTACTGTTATTCACTTGCGCTTGGTTGTCACGGTCTCCAAAGGATATTCTCTGCTACTGTATTCAATGTTGATCCTAGTTCCCAAGGAGGAGAGTTAATATAACCTGGGCTCCTATCCTTCGCCTGTTCAACTACAGGATAGCGTAGATATCCTTTCGGCGCAATCTTTCCTCGATCTCCCCTACCATTTATTCTCTGTTGACCCTCTATCATTTAATCTGAAGCCCGAGCTACCCTCTCCCCAAAATCTACAAGTTCTCCTTTCGCCATTAAAACCAAAAGATCAATGCTAGTCCTCACGCCGATGAAGGTCATGGCGACGAGGTTTGCGCACACTGATGAAGATCTTGGGTATCCCCCACGCTAATGAAGACGTTATCCCCTTATGTGTTTGCTCTTAGTTCCATTAGCTGTGGGTGAATGCATGTGGCTCTTTTCAATGAGCTTGTACAATAAAAAGATAGTTAAGTTTGATAGGTATGTGGAATACAATCAATTCAGATGGGTCATGCGTGAATCACATGGGAAGGCATGCGAATGCTGGTAGAGATAGTCCTCTGGCTTACGTTAATACTGTATAGCTATACAGTGTAAACGTAAGCCAGAAGACTATCTCCACCAGCATTTGCATGCCTTTCTAGGTGATTCACATATGACCCATCTGAATTGATTATATTCCACGCACCTATCAATCTTAACTATCTTGTTATTGAACATGTTCATTGAAGGGAGCCAGTTATATTCACCCACGGTTATGGAACTTAGAGCAGAGATAATGGTAATACATGCAGTAGTCATCGTGTATTCAAGCTTATTTGTTTAGTTTAAGGTTGTAGCATGATTGTAAAGGAAATTATTTTTTGATACAGGTTGTTTTGTTAAAGTTTAACAATTTATCAAAAAATATTATGGAATCGCTGTCACATTTATTGATTGTTTTGTTAAGTTTACGTGTTTATTGTGAAGTTTGGCTTTGTATTTACAAGCTTATATATTGGTTGCTAAGGTTAGCGCTCTGTTACCAAGCTTATGGGATGGTTGCTAAGGTTAGCACCTTGTTGTTGCTAAGAGCTCTGTTGTTAGGCTTATTTATTGGTTGTTAAGGTTGTATCAGTCCTCATTGTTTGTTGAACTTAGGGAATTGTTGAGAAGATCACGGGGTTGTTGATAAGCTTATTTTTTCTATGTTAAGATCAGGGCGTGGCTGTTAAGCTTATTTTTTCATTGTTAAAGTTGTAAGCAAGATTGTAAAGAAAGACGTGGTATGATACATGGTTATATTGTTGAGCGGATTGTTTTGTTGTTAAGATCATTGACTGACTGTCAAGGTTATGTGCTGATTGTCAAGCTTATGGATTAGTTGTTAAGTTTAACGCCCTGTTGTTAAGGTTAGTGCTTTGTTGATAAGCTTATGTATTGGTTGTTAAAGTTAGCTCTCTGTTGTTAAACTTATAGAATGGTAGCTAACATTAGCTCCTTGTTAAGCTTATGGGTTAAGAAGATCACAGGGTTGTATTGTTGATATTATGGTTCATGGATTGGCTTTCAAGGTTATGTGCTGGTTGTCATGCTTATGGACTGGTTGCTAAGGTTAGAGCCCTGTTGTCTAGCTTATGGATTGGTTGATAATGTTAACGCTCTGTTATTAAGCTTATGTATTGGTTGCTAAGGTTAGCGCCCTGTTGTTAAGGGCCCTTACTGTTATTCACTTGCCTTTGGTTGTCACGGTCACCGGGGTATATTCTCTGCTACTGCATTCAATGTTCCTCCTAGTTCCCAAGGATGAGAGTTAATATAACCTGGATACCTACCTATCCCCACATTCCACGCGGTAACATCACCATCCCTTCGCCTGTTCAGCTACAGGATAGCACAGGTTTCCTTTTCGGCACAATCTTTCCTCGATCTCCCCTATCATTTATTCTCTGTTGACCCTCTATATTTAATTCGAAAAAAAGCTACCCTCTCCCCAAAATCTACAAGTTATCCTTTCGCCATTAAAACCAGAAGATCAACGCTAGTCCTCACGCCGATGAAGGCCATGGCGACGAGGTTTACGCACACTAATGAAGATCTTGGGTATCCCTCACACTGATGAAGACGTTATCCCCTTATGTGTTTGCTCTTAGTTCCATTAGCTCTCTATGGGTGGATGCATGTAGCTCTTTTCAATGAGCTTATACAATAAAAAGATAGTTAAGTTTGATAGGTGCGTGGAATACAATCAATTCAGATGGGTCATGCGTGAATCACATGGGAAGGCATGCGAATGCTGGTGGAGATAGTCCTCTGGCTTACGTTAACACTGTATAGCTATACAGTGTAAACGTAAGCCAGAAGACTATCTCCACCAGCATTTGCATGCCTTCCTAGGTGATTCACACATTGATCCAGCTGAATTTATTGTATTCCACGCACCTATCAATCTTAACTATCTTGTTATTGTACAAGCTCATTGAAGGGAGCCAGTTATATTCACCCACGGTTATGGAACTTAGAGCAGAGGCAATGGTAATACATGCAGTAGTCATCGTGTATTCAAGCTTATTTTTTTAGTTTACGGGGTTGTTGATAAGCTTATTTGTTTGTTTTAAGGTTGTAGCATGATTGTAAAGGAAATTATTTTTGATACAGGTTGTTTTGTTAAAGTTTAACGATTTATCAAAAAATATTATGGACTCGCTGTCACCTTTATTGATTGTTTTGTTAAGTTTACGTGTTTATTGTGAAGTTTGGCTTTGTATTTACAAGCTTATATATTAGTTGCTAAGGTTAGCGCTCTGTTGCCAAGCTTATGGGATGATTGCTAAGGTTAGCACCTTGTTGTTGCTAAGAGCTCTGTTGTTAGGCTTATTTATTGGTTGTTAAGAATGACGATAAAGAAGGACGTGGCTGATACAAGGTTGTCAAATACAAAGTTGGGTGTTTTGTTGTTATGATCAATGCGTGGTTGTTAAGCTTGTTTTTTTTGATAGGGTTGTAAGAAAGATTGTAAAGAAGGACGTGTCATGATACATTGTTGTATTGTTGAGCTTATGGTTTTGTTGTTAAGCTCAAAGACTGGCTGACATGGTTATTTATTGGTTGTTAAT